TATATATATATATATATATGTAACATATATATATAACACAAGCAGCAGCAGCAGCAGCAGCAGCAGCAGCAAACAGCAGCAGCAGCAGCAGCAGCAGCAGCAAATAATTAATTAATAAAAAAGAATATTTTTATTATTTTGTCTAAGAGAAGATTTTTCTTCTTTTGTTAGAAAAGGAGAATTCCTTTTATTACCTCCAGTGTCTGTACACCTCAGGTCTGCTGCTGCTGCTGCTGCTGCTGCTGCTGCTGCTGCTGCAACAGCAGCAGCAGCAGCAGCAACAGCAGCAGCAGCAGCAGCAGCAGCAGATAAGGGAATTGTTTGTTTCTATTTTATTTTATAACCACTGCAGCAATACAACTAATATTTACAATAAAAAGTATTAGGGGGTCTGCTGCTGCTGCTGCTGCTGCTGCTGCTGTTGCTGCTGCTGCTACTAGTACTACTACTACTACTACTACAGCAGCAGCAGCAGCAGCAGCAGCAGCAGCAGCAGGTAAACAGCAGACGGCTTTTGACCCCTAATATCTTTCTTGCTTCCTTTGCTGCTGCGTGTGTAACAACAGCGCAACAAAGCAGCAGCAAACCCTAAACCCTAAACCCTAAACCCTAAACCCTAAACCCTTCTCCAAGTATCCCCAGGCGCTTCGTGGCGCAGCAGCAGTAGCTGCTGCTGCTGCTGCTGCTGCTGCAGTTGCTGCTGCTGCTGCAGCAGTTGCTGCTGCTGCTGCTGCTGCTGCTGCTGTTAGTTAATTAATTGGGGTGCTAGGTCCTGATCTATTCCTGCTGCTGCTAAGGGACTGTCTCCTTTTTATTATTCTTGCTGCTTGTCTCCGCAGCAATAAGGAGGCCTTAACCTCCTCTGCTGCTGCTGCTGCTGCTGCTGCTTCTGCTGCAGTTGCTGCTGCAGTTGCAGTTGCTCCTGCTGCACTTGCTGCTGCTGCTGCTACACTCTCCTTGGTGGCTGCAGCAACAGCAGCAGCAGATGGCCGCTAGTTGCCTCTACTAGTGGGGGTGAATATCCCTGTGGCTTACCAGCAGCAGCAGCAGCAGCAGCAGAAACAGCAGCAGCAGCAGCAGCAGCGACAGCAACAGGAACTGCAACAGCAACTGCAGCAGTAACTGCAGCAGCGGCAGCAGCAACATCAGAAGCAGCAACTGCAACAGCAACATTTGTTTTTGTTGCTGCTGCAGCAGCAGCAACAACAGTAGCAGCAGCCAGCGTTAGCTGGCATACAGGAGACGCTCTCTTGCTTGCTGCTGCAGCATCTTGCTGCTGCTGCAGCAGCAGCAGCAACAGCAGCAGTAATGGATTTGCGATTGTCTGCTGCAGCAGCAAAAACCCTTAACCCCGCAGCAGCAGCAGCAGCAGCAGGAGGTATTACTCCTATACCTCTAGAACAGTCTTCTGCTGCTGCTGTTGCTGCTGCAGCTGCAGCTGCAGCTGCTGCAGAGACAGAAGCAGCAGCAGCAGCAGCAGCAGGGGCGCAGCAGCAGCACGCTCCTATACTAACTCCTCACCTTCCCCTCTCTGTTGTGCCTGTCTTACAGGGGCCCCTGAGGGCCCCCCAGAAGCGTACCCGTCAGCAGCAGCAGCAGCAGCAGCAGCAGCAGCTGGAGCAGCAGGTGGAGCAGCAGGAGCATCAGTTACATCGTGATCCCCTATTACTATTGCTGCAGCAGCAGCAACAACAGCAACAGCAGCAACAGCAGCAGCAGCAGCAAGGGTGTGGTGTATACGCAGCAGCAACTATGTCACCGCAGCAGCCACGGACACCGCTGCTGCAGGTAGCTGAGGATACACCTGGAGACTACCCGCTGCAGCAGCAACTTGCTGCTGCCTCCCTATCTAACTCGGGGGGCCCCTGTGGGGCCCCCCTTACCTCTTTATTAACAATTGATTCAAAGGCAGCAACGCCGCTGCTGCAGCACGAGCGCATGCGCTGCAGCAGCAGGACACCAGCAGGATCTAGTGCTGCAGCAGTAGCAGCTGCTGCTGTTGCAGCTGCTGCTGCTGCAGGTACAATGGATGTCCCAACAAGTACTACTACTGCTGCTGTTGCAGCAGCACCTACTGCTGCTGTTGCTGCTGTTGCTGCTGCTGCAGCTGCTGCTGCTGCTTACCCCTCTGGACGCATGCAAACAGCAGCAAAAGAAGAGAGCAGCAGCAGCCCCGTGCTGCTGTCCGGGGACAACAGTCGTCGCCTAGAGGGGACGGATGGGCCTCTACTAGATTCTGCTGCTTCCCCAGCAGCAGCAGCAGGAGGAGGAACAGCAGCAGGGACAGCAGCAGCAGCAGCAGGAACAGGAACAGGAACAGCAACAGGAGCAGCAAAAGGAGGCAGAGCCCCACGAAGGGGAACAAGAAGGAAACCAACAAGAAACAAGAGAACAGGAGGAGCAGCAGCAGCAGCAACAAGATGTGCTGCTGCACAACAAGATGCAGCAGCAGCAGCAGCAGCAGCAGAAGATATGGTGCATGCATACACCCCAGATACACCAACAGCAAGACAAACAAAGCGACGAAGACATCAACAGCAGCAGCAGCAGCAGCAGCAGCAACTGCAGCAGTATGGAGAAGGTATATGTTCTATAGAGGAATCAGGAGGAGCAGCAGGAGGAGGAGGAGGAGCAGCAGCAACAGCAGCAAATGCTGCTGCATGCAGCAGCGAAGATTTTTGGGTAAGACCATTAGAAGTAATAGATTGCTGCAGTTGTCTTGTAGACACCCAACAGCAGCAGCAGCAGCAGCAGCAGCAGCAGCAGCAGCAGCTAGCAGCAGCAGGAGGAGGAGCAATAACAACACCTTTATGGAATTCTTTAACAGGACCATCAGCAGCAGGAGCAGCAGGAGCAGGAGCAGCAGCAGCAGCAGCAGGAGGAGGTGCAGCAGGAGGAGCAGCAGGAATGACCCCTAGCTCGTGTTTGGCTCAAATAAACGGGAATAATATGTTAAACAACATTAGCAGCAGCAGCAGCAGCAGCAGCAGCAGCAGCAGCAGCAGCAATAATTGTTGTATATTATATACAGATGCATATATGTTCCCTATTGAATACTTAGGAAGAAATGGTCGTTTATCCCGTCGTGGTGGTTTGCTGCTGCAGTGCAGCAGCAAACAAATAAGACAAATAAATCTATTAAGAGGGGAGGAGGAGGAAGGAGGAGGAGGAGGAGAAGAAAAAAAAAAAAAAATAAATAATAATAATAATAATTATTTATATAAAATAAATAATAATAATAATAATAATAATAATTTATATAAGATAAAAGTTCCTCTTCTTCTTACTAGACCAGCAGCAACAGGAAAATATAGGTTGCTGCTTCCTCAGTATACATTAATATTTAAATGTTGCTGCTGCTGCTGCAGTAATAATTGTTGCTGCTGCTGCTGTTATAATAATATTAATAATAATTATTATTCAGCTGCTAATTCTTCTTCTTCTTCTGCTGCTGCTGCAGCAGCAGCAGATCATTGCTGCTGCAGCAGCAAATGTAATCATAAAAAATGTAATCAACAGTATGCATGCAACAAAAGGTGTAACTCTTGCTGCAGCTGCAGCAGCAGCAGCAGCAGCAGCAGCAGCAGCAGCAGCAGCAATGGTGGTGGTGGTTGCTGCTGCTGCAGTTGCTGCAGTTGCTGTTGCGGAGAAGGACATCATAGATCTAATCATCATCATGGAGGAGGGAAGCATGGATGCAGCAACAGCAGCAGCAGCAGCAGCAGCAGCACAGCATCAACAGCAACAACACGAAGCAGCAGCGCAAGGAATCATAGGAATCATACACATAAACATTTATTAGGTGCAGGAGGAGGAGGAGCAGCAGCAACAGCAGCAGGTGCAGCAGGATCTGCAGCAGCAGGTGGTGATGGTCCAGGTCCTCCAGAAAACAACAACAACAACAACAGCAGCAGCAGCAGCAGCAGCAGCAACAGCAACAGCAACAGCAGCAACAGCAGCAATAACAACACAACAACAGAACAACCTAAACATATAGCATCCCAGACAACAGCAACAACAACAACAACAACAAGTAGCAGCAGCAGCAGCAATAACAATAATAATACATTAGCATGTTGTGCAGCAAGAGCAGCAGCAGCAGCAGCAGCAGCAGCAGCAGCAGCAGGAGGTCCATCATCATCATTACGTAGTATAAATAATAATAAAAACAATAAAAACAATAAGAATAACAAGACGAGCAGCACAACAACCGCCACAACAACAAGCAGCAGCAACAACAACAGCTGCAGCAACAACAACAACAGCAGCAGCAGCAGCAGCAACAGGAGCAGATGCCCATTTATGGGTCCACACCTATATACACGTCCTGTATATTTGCTGCTATGGAGATATGAGGAAAGATATTGTCCACAAGATAAATGTCTAAGATGGATCTCCTTATCTTCTGCATTTATAAATGTTAAATATTTTGGGGCTTTTTTTGAGCGTGCATGCATGCAGCCCCATTATCATCATCATCAACAGCAACAGCAGCAGCAACAGCAGCAGCAGCAGCAACAACAACAATTATTTAGATGCAAGGCTGCTGTTATTGATGCTCTCTCTCATGTCTCTCCTAAGAAAACTGCACTTCTTAGGGCTTGGGCATTAGCTGGATGTCTAGAGACTACATTAAGGGAATTAGGTGTCAAAAAATATCAGGTAATTAGGGTTTATTAGGGTTTATTAGGGTTTATTAGGGTTTAGGGAAAGGGGTTAGCAGGGTTTATACCAGTTTATACGCGCTTCTGAGGGTTTATACGGGTTTTTTAACATTTTTATTTTTTTTAGGGTTTAGGGTTTAGGGTTTAGGGTTTAGGGTTTAGGGTTTAGGGTTTAGGGTTTAGGGTTTGTGTATAGGTTGAAGAGGTGAAGAGTGGTAGTTATCAAGGATTTCCTCAGCCAACATTAACAGAAGATGATCAACCAGCAGCACCGCTGCTGCGCAGAGTAACAGAGGCATTAAACAGCAGCAGCAGCAGCAGCAGCAGCAGTAGCAGCAGTAGCAGCAGCAGTAGCAGCAGCAGTAGCAGTAGCAACAATAAAGATAAACATTAAAAACAACACCAGCAGAAACAGCAGCAGCAACAGCAGCAGCAACAGCTGATGCTGCTGGTTGTGCAGCAGTAGCAGTAGCAACTGCTGCTGCTGCTGTTGCAGCAGCAGCAGCAGCAGCAGCAGCAGGCGGATGTATGGCCTTGTGCTGCAACGAGATGTATTCATACACTGAGATGGATGGATTGCTGCTGCTGCTGCTGCATCCAGCAACAGCAGCAGCTGCTGCTGCTGCAGCAACAGCACCTGCAGCAGCAGCAGCAGCAGCAGCAGCAAACAACACCCGACAGTAGCACCAGCTTCTTATGGTTGTGTAACAACAGCAGCAGCTGCCTTAGCAGCTGCTGCAGCAACTGCAGCAGCAGCTGCAGCAAGTGTGTAACTGCAGCAGCAGCAGCAGCTGCAGCAAGTGTGTAACTGCAGCAGCAGCAACTGTTGCAGCAACTTCAACTGCAGCGGCAAATGCAGCAACTGCAGCAGCAGCAGGCACCTGCTGCTGCTGCTGCAGCTGCAGCAGCAGCAAGAGCAACAGCAAACCGTGAAGGGACAGGCGGTTAAATGCCTTACGAACGTATCGTATCCAGAGGTCGCAGCAACTGCAGCAGCAACTGCAGCAGCAACTGCAGCGGCAGCAGCAGCAGCTGCTGCAGCAGCTGCTGCTGCAGCAGCAGAAGCAGCAGCAGAAGCAGCAGGAGAGACAACTGCAGCAGCAGCTACCTCCTGTGCTCGATGTCTTATCCCTGGGGCGTGTCTCCTCAGTAAGGGGAGCTGCTTGCGCTGCAGCGTCCAGTTGACGCTAAACCCTAAACCCTAATTAGGGTTTAGGGTTTAGGGTTTAGGGTTTGTTGTGGGTAAGGAAAAACCCTTTTGAATTTCACTCCTTCCGTCAAACCCTAAACAGACAGACAAGTGCTAAACCCTAAACCCTAAACCCCTAAACCCTAAACCCTTGTTTTGTTGGTTTGTTATACAAACCCTACTATAAACCCTCATTGTTATAGAGGGGTGTATTCATCACTCATTGATCTATAATTAGGGTTTAGGGTTTAGGGTTTAGGGTTTGATGAATTAGCCAAACAGTGAGTAGCGTAGGTCTATATAAAAAGGAGTATTTATTTGTCTCCTTTTGTTGTTTAAGGGTTTAGGGTTTATAGGGGTCTAAACCCTAAACCCTAAACCCTAAATAAACTCAATATATTCTCCTATTCATATTATTCTCTAATAGAGCTATCCAATTACACTCTCTAGGGTTTAGGGTTTAGGGTTTAGGGTTTAGCCACAAGAATAGTTGAATAGAAGATACAAGACCCAAGTTAATTGCTCTTCCTCCAGCTGCTGCTGCTGTTGCTGTTGCTGCTGCTGTTGCTGTTGCTGCTGCTGTTGCTGTTGCTGCAGCAGCAACAGCAGCAGCAGCATAAACCTGTAGAGCATAGGCTTGCCTCTTGTAGGCAGCGTTTGGATCCTCCCTAGGGTTCCAATAGTCTAGGGTTTAGGGTTTAGGGTCTGGGCTCTAGGGTTTAGGGTTTAGGGTCTGGGCTCTAGGGTTTAGGGTTTAGGGTTTAGGGTTTTCGATTTTTTTATGATATCTTCTAGATGTATGTTTTTCTCCATCATTAGATACCACGGTATACTGCGCATACACCACAAACCCTAAACCCTAAACCCTAAACCCTAACAGTAATCTAACCCTAACCCTAACCCTAACCCTAAACCCTCACACGTCTAAAGCCATAATAAAACATCGAGACACACAAACCCTAAACCCTCAAACCCTCCTAAAGAGATAAACCCTCGATCCCTCGACCCATAAACCCTCAAACCCTAAACCCTAAACCCTAAACCCTAGCTAACCTGCGCCATGGTAATTGGGGCCTTTTCCTTTCCCTCTGGATCTTCCTTTAATAATATCCTAGTCATGTATAATGTCCCTGAGGAGGAACCACCAAACCCTAAACCCTAAACCCTAAACCCTAGCACCTAAGCGCAGCTCCCCCACCACTCCCATCTCCTTATGTAGCCCTCGTTAAGGGTTTGGGGTTTCTCCATTGCAGCCGTCACATCTATTAGGTATCCTATCCCCTACACCCTTTAGGGTTTAGGGTTTAGGGTTTAGGGTTTAGGGTTTAGGGTTTAGGTACGTACCTATTTGCATTTTATATTTAGCATAAAGTATACCATCAATCTCTGCTGCTAAGAAATCTCCTTCGTCACATCCAACAGACATTTGCTGCAAAGGAGGATGAGGAAATACTTCCCCCATCTGTACACATTCAAAAAAAAAAAAAAAAATTAGGGTTTAGGGTTTAGGGTTTAGGGTTTAGGGTTTGGTGGTATGGGTGGAAAAAGTATGCACGAAGGACAGTTGCTAAAGGGGGTCTTTAGGGTTTAGGGTTTAGGGTTTCTGCAGAGATAAAATAACCGTTCTAAAGCTTAAAGAATAGGGTT